TTTTTTTTTTTTTTTTTTTTTTAGAGATAGGGTCTCAGTTGCTTAGTGCCTCATGGTTGCTGAGGCTGGCTTTGAACTCACGATTCTCCTATCTCAGCCTCCCAAGCTGCTGGGATTTCTGCTTCTTTGTAGACTAAAGCCTTCTGCCTTGGCTCAGTTCCTTGCCCTCATGTTATTCATTTATTCAACAAACATTCACTAAGAACATTAATTTTGTTTTGTTTTGCATACTGTACTAGGGATTGAACCCAGGGGCAAGGAGGAACTGAGTTACATTCCTGGCCCTGTTTTATTTTGAGACAGGGTCTCACTAAGTTGCCCAGGCTGGCCTCGAACTTGCAATCCTCCTGCCTCAGCATTCTGAGTAGATTATTAAGAACTTTATATTTACAGAGAAATAAAAAAACAAAAGAGGCCTTGGTTCTGCCCTCTAGAGCTCACAGTCTAATAAAGGGGAAAGATCCTCCAAACAAATAACTACTGTACAATGGAGGTCATATAACTTTTTCTGTACAGTGCCAGAAAGTATTTTTGGCTTTGCAGGTCATACAGTCTCTGTCACAGCTACTCAACTCTGCCACTGTAGCATGAAAGCAACCACTGGCATTAAGTAAATGAATCTGCATGGCTGTGTTCCAACAAGATTTATATTTACATAAACAGGCAGTGGGCCAGATTTGGCTTGGGTGCTGCTGTGTCTGCCAACCTGTGGTATACAGCATCCTAAGGAACATCCTTGAAGCCTGGAGAGTCTGAGAAAAGACCCGCAGGACTGCAGGCCTCTCACAGTGAATGCCATCGCATCTTATTTGGACAGACACAACAATCCACAAAAAATTCTCCTTGGAAGTGGTGAACCAGGGGCCAGGCATGGTGGCTCACACCTGTAAATCCCAGCCTTGGGAAGTTGAGGTAGGAGGATTTCAAGTTTGAGGCCAGCCTGGGCGACTTAACAAGACCCTGTTAGAAAGAAAGGGCAGGGAAGGGAGGGAGGGAAGGAAGAAAAAAGAGAAGGAAGAAGAGAAAAAAAGAAAGGAGGGAGAGAAAAAAAGAGGGAAAGGGAAGGAGGAAGGGTGGAAGGGATGGAGAAAGATGAAATAGGGAAAGAGGGTGAGAGGGAGGTAAAAAAGAGAAAAAGAGGTGGACTAGCAATTAATTTTCTACTCAAAGTCACTGAATTGGTCCCTCAAAAATAGCAGCTCTTAACCTGGTGTTAAGACAAACGGGTATAGAATGTGTTGCAATTAATTTATTATTGTAGTAGAGTTAATGATTAAAATAATAAATATTAGTTTTCAAAATTTTTCTTAAACATTTGAAAGAGGACAGAAAAACATCTCTGTGGAAGTTATAGCCAGCCTGGAGCTGTGCACACCCCTGGTGTGCCTGCAGAAGCAAAGGGCATGTGTATTCAGTGTCGGCCCAGGTGTGTTCGTGGCAGAAGGAGCCCTAGAGACCACTGAGTCTAGCCTTCTCCATCTGAAGATAACAAACACCCCCTAGCTAGCAACTCAAACATGGCAGATTTAGATCCATCAGTCTAATTACCATTCTCGAAAACATATGAAGTCAAACTGGAGGAGACAGGCAAGTATGGGAGGAAGTGAGATAAGGCCTCTCCAGGCCAGCTGGATAATATGCTGATAAGTACCTTTCCTTCAAACTCTTTCACTGTTGTTCCTCATGGAAAAATTTTAAAACGTGGGAAAGTAAGAATAAAAAATAAATGTCCAGTATTGTCATGGGCAATAACTTGTAACACTTTGGTTCTTTTCCTTTCCAATTCTTTTTCTGTGTATGTAAGAAAAAAATTATTTTTAATTAAAATGTTTTTTCCTTTCTTATGAAACATACCATGTATATTCTCATATATTCTTTAATAAGGCTCAAAAAATTTGTAATGTATTAAAAGTCCACCAAGTGAATGGGCCATATTTATTTAAATACTTTGCACTATTGGATATTTAGGTTATCTCTTTATTTTTATACTGCATTAAAAGTTGAAAATAAGCCAGGTGTGGTGGCACCCATCTGTCGTCCCCAGCAATTTAGGAGCTGAGGCAGGAGGATCACAAGTTCAAGGCCAGACTTGGTAATTTAGCAAGACCCTCTCTCAAAATAAAAATAAATAAATAAAAGGGCTAGGGAAGTAGCTCAGTGCCCACGGGTTCAATTCCCCAGTACCCCCCCGCAAAAAATAAATAGCAAGTTGAAAATAATCCCATGGAAGCTTACAAAACTACTCAAATGTAACATTTTATATTTATTTGATAGCAAGTAGTTCTCTAAAACAGATTAATGTCCTGGGGCCGTGTAGGTCAAGGCATAGTACACAATGGTGACCACAGGAGGAAGCATACCTCCCAGGAGCAGACAGGAGGGCACAAAAAACACAGCATCCTTTCTAGTTTACCGGCCAATTAGCTATTTGGGCCCTCAATATTCTCTACTAAAGATATATGAGATAGCAAAACAATTAACCTCACCACCAGGGCCCAAAGTATCACAAGGCTTGAGGGTTTTTTTGTTTGTTTTTGTTTTGTTTTTGGTACCAGGGATTGAACTCAGGGGCACTCAACTACTGAGCCAAACCCCAGCCCTATGCATCTCAAGCACCTCGCCTTTGCTGAGGCTGGCTTTGAATTCGTGATCCTTCTGTCTCAGGTTCCCAAGCTACTGGGACTACAGGTGTGTGCCACCGCACCCCACAAGACTGAGTTTTAACCACTCTCAGCAAAAACCAACAGAGGAAAACTCTTTGGCTTGTCTACTATTATTAAAATCATATAGAAGAAAGGGATGTTTAAATAGCTTGTGGCAGGGCTGGGGTTGTGGCACAGTGGTAGAGCGCTTGCCTCACATGTGAGGCCCTGGGTTGGATCCTTAGCACCACATAAAAATAAATACATAAAAGTAAAAGACATTGTGTCCATCTACAACTAAAAATACATATATTAAAAAAAATAGCTTGTGACAGATTTTTATCTATAGCATCTAGTAGATTTGTAGGAAATTCCTTTTGAAATAGAAGGTCCACTAACAGGTCTTTCTCCCATGGAGAGGAGGAGGGTTCTCTGCTTAGCATTTTCTCTGTAGGGCATGATGGGGGGCAGAATCTCATATAAACTTTCGAGGATGCCCAACCCAGCATCAGCCATGTGGGCTTGCAAAAGTAGCATGGGACTATGAAACTTCTAGAGCCTATACCAGTAGAAACTAAATATATTTCCCTTAATCCAGTTGCCAATCAGAAAATTAAAACAAATTAATAATCTGGTTAACAAAATTTATAATACTAGAAACCCTCCCTCCTAGAATAAATTATACTTGGCCTTTAAGCCACGGGAAGTGAAATATAATTTATGGATGAGTAGAGTTATAATTGCCCGCTTGAGTTAGTAATAACAAGTAAAGCTCCAGTTCAGATATCAGTTTCCAGATAAAGATTTTAGGTAAAGCAACATATTTGTATTTGCCTAACAGTCTGAACCAGGCAGGGTCATATAACAATGGTATTCTTCTAATTAAAGATGAGAAAACAAACACTTCTGATTAAAATCCCCATCTAACCTTGTATTTGTCTATGGACATTTTACAAAGAGATTATTTTTCAAACCTAATTTTACCAGAGTTATCTAGGAATAATTCACATTCTATGTGCAGAAAAACAAACAAAATAAATAAATCAAGCCCAAGGTGGTAAAGAACTTTCTGACCCCACCCCTACTATCTGTATCTGTTTGACAAATAAAGAAATTTGCATGAACAGGGCAAAAACAACTTTGGATATACAAACATAAAAGGACATGGATTATTTTGATACCTATGAGAATGGTTACATGTAAATTTGTCAAGTATGGGAAGTAATCACCATCATTGCTTTTTTAGAGCACATGAAAAAGTTAAGTCAATGCTGCAAGACATGGCATCAGGTGGTTAACAAACCTATGCAAAACAAATACCAAATGTTACCATTCACCTATTCACAATATCTGATCACCAATAGTTCCTACAGGCCCATAGGGGAGACTGTTTTTCAAGAACATATCAAGTTCATTGGAAAGTGATGGCATGGACACAGCACACACACTTACCTTACCAGTGCATCTGGTTTGCTTAGCTGGTTATTAGGAATACAGTTTTCCATTAAGTCCTTGTGTGAACTTGGGCTCTTGCTAGTGCACTTTTGCTTCTTTTCATTTTTACTAGATGAGGAAGGAATGCTCCCATTTGTGGTGCTGTGACTTCGAGGTGAGGAGTTCACAACTCCACTGGCATTTTTGTAATTTTTGGAGGAAGCAGTGCATGAGTCCTCTTTCAAGAGATTTTCTGTACTTCCCACAAGATCATTATTTAATCTTTTACTATTGATATGGTTTTCCATATACTCAATTTCTTGTATTTTAGAGTCTACGGGTTGTAGTATATTGTTGTTATTTATTCCAAGGTTGTGTTTTTTGGCATCCTTGTCCTTTTCTTTCCCTTTTTCTCGATATTCTATCTCTGGCAAAGTTGTGGACAGTTTTTTGTTGGCGGGGATGCCTCCATTGTGGTGTATAAGGATCGAGGAATCCATATCAGGTAATCCTTTGGCTGCTACAATACCAAAAACAAACCAACAGAAAAAAAAACCCATACCGGAATATTTAGTTTTTTAAAAACATATACTGTACTGATTCAACAAATTGTATTAGTTATGGTTAGGAATTCACCATATAAATATGCAAACTCATTTAGAAGCAAGAGTCACAGCACACTGTGTTGAATTCAAGAAGCCAATCTAAACACATTGGAGAAGATGCAAAATTTGAAAATCATCATTATTTATCAAACACCATCACATATGAAGTCTTTTATGGTTGGGCCTTAAAGTAGGATAAGAAATTTTATATTCAAGTCATACTTCATATATCAGTCAAATCAAACTTGTCTGTCATGGAGTTAAGAATATAAAGGCAGATTTTCTCCTAAGAGGCCCTATTTAAAAGATGCTTATTGAATAAATTTCTAGCAACTTCACAGACATTTTTTTTGTTGTTTACAGAAACACAGAAATTAAATAAAATAAAAGAAGAGGTATGATTTTAAGATGCAGAACATATATCCTTTTTCTTAAGTCCAGTGCTGAGGTAATAGTCTATATTATTTATTAGATCACTAGTAAAGAATATTCTGTATCAGCTCTATACATTCCAAGTTGTTGAAGGTCTACATAAGAGATTTCTGTACCACAAAGAAAAAGATTTTGACATATATTAATTAACAAAAAACATGACCTCAAACTTCCAACTCCAACTGAGAAAACTATTATTACTGTGAATTCATCTATCTATATTCGTTAAATGCCCACAAGACAGGTTCCATTAGATATGGTCCAATTTAAAATCCACATTATGCTGGGCGTGGTGGCACATGCTTGTTTTTTTTTTTTTTTTTTTTTTTTTGAGAGAGTGAGAGAGGAGAGAGAGAGAGAGAGAATTTTTTAATATTTATTTTTTTTTTAGTTCTCAGCGGACACAACATCTTTGTTGGTATGTGGTGCTGAGGATCGAACCCGGGCCGCACGCATGCCAGGCAAGCGTGCTACTGCTTGAGCCACATCCCCAGCCCGGTGGCACATGCTTGTAATCCCAGTGGCTCAGGAGGATTGTGAGTTCAAAGCCAGCCTCAGCAAAACCAAGTGCGAAGCAACTCAGTGAGACCCTGTCTCTAAATAAAATTAAAATATAGGGCTGGGGATGTGGCTCAATACCCAGAGTTCAATCCCCAGTACAAAAGGAAAAAAAAAAAAAAGGAAAACAAAAAATAATAATAATAATAAATCCACATTACATTGCAAGAAACTCAAGAATAGAACCTATCAGTCTTGGCTCTCTACATTGAAGACTTTTGACATATAAAACTCAATTTCCTATGTCCACATCTCTATCTTGCTTATACTTTGGTTCTTGGCTTGGTTTTTTTCTTTTGGACATAATACCTTTATTTTACTTATTTATTTTTTTATGTGGTGCTGAGGATTGAACCCAGGGCCTCGCACATGAGAGGCGAGCGCTCTACGGCTGAGCTACAACCCCAACCCTCTTGGCTTGTTTTAATTACAAATTTACAGTTATGTATTTTGTTTCCTAGAATAAGTGTTTTTAAAAATGTATGACATAAAATAAGAAATTAAAAATAAAAATTATGAAATAAACACAGTTATAATTATAAGCTGATGGCCTTCAGAGAATAGATAAAAAATTTCATCAAGGGCTGGGGTTGTGGCTCAGTGGTAGAGTGCTCACCTAGCATGCATGAGGCACTGGGTTCGATCCTCTGAACCACGTAAAATAAAGATAGTGTCCACCTAAAACTAAAAAAAAAAAAAAAAATCATCTACACTCCTTATTTTATAATCAAACAATGGCCCTGAGAAGGAACACCAAAAAGTAGAAAAATCTAAAATTCTAGCTATTTTTCCTTAAAAGACAATTCTACTGAGAGTCAAAAACCACAACTAGCCTTTTAGTCAACAGCTTTAGGGTAAAGACCTACCTTCCTCTGCCTCTTTTTCTTGCTTCTGTAGCATCTGCTGCTCTGGAGGGAGGGCCTGCTGAAGAAGCTGCATGTAAAATTCGTTCTCCTTTTGCACTTCCTTCTGCTTCCTTAACCGCATTTTGTAGCTCACATAACTTTTGAAGCCAAAGCCCAGAGTCACCACAGGGTACCCAATACTAGAAAACAGATAAACAAACTTTAAAACAAACAACACATGCATCAAGCACATGAGGCTATTCATGATTTAAATGAGAAAATAAATTCCTAGAATCAAAAAATCAATTTTAGTTGATGATGACAGTTGAAGAAGTATTCAATAAACACACAAATGTCATGTCTACATTTATTAAATGTCTGTGGAAATCTGAGGCAGCTGCATGGAAAACAAGCCCCCAAAGGATCAACAGAACTTCTAGACCAAAAGAAAACCCTTCCCATCAGACTCTGGTGTTTGCTGAACTACTCAAGGAGTCACCACCACAGCTGACTATCAGATGCAGACCTAATGCCTTGAAGAAACACTGACCTGCCTTATGCATTGTAACTGAGACATCTGTATGCTTTTAAAAATTGAAAGGGTAGAGAATTTATGGGTGGCCACAAGTAAACATTCTATGTATTAAAAATTCAAGGGGCTGGGGTTATGGCTCAGTGGCAGAATGCTTACCTAGCATGTGTGAGGCACTGGGTTCAAATCTCAGCACCACATATAAATAAATAGATAGATAAAAATTCAAAAAGACATCATTTGGGTTTTAATACTAGAAAGCAGGGTCAAATTTAGGTAACTACTTTGACACAGTCTTGCTGTCTCAGGGGTAATGAAACCATATATTCCTGGAAAATTAGTCCACAAACACTGTCACACATAAATTCCAGAATAATTTAAATAAGTATCTAATATGAAAGCTAACATTTGGGTTGTGCCACCAAATTAAACCAAGTGTACCAACAACTTTAATTTCTGGAATAGAAAGTTGAAATATTTAATTCAGCTTATCACCTGCCTAATACTGTTTCAAAAACTCTTCAAATATTGTGGAACATACATTAAGCTTCATTAACATTAAACCTTACCAATTTGTAATTAGTCTAAATGTCGTCTCACTACAAATTTAAAGTGACAAGTTTTAATGACCAGGTTATTTAATTCACTTGTTAGTGAGAAGACTAAAAATATTGGAAACAATATTTATTTTTTTAGTTGATTCCTGTTTATTTTAGGTTTTCCATAAATATTAGCAAATAAAAAATGGTGTGTTTAAGAGAAACATACATTTAGTGGTGATTTCCATAATAAATGCAAACAAAAATCATAATAAATGCAAAAAAAGTTTCTGGAAATAAGAAGTCTCTGGGGCTGGGGTTACGGCTCAGTGGCAGAGCACTTGCCTCACACATGTGAGGTACTGGGTTCGATCTTCAGCACCACATGAAAATAAGTAAACAAAATAAAGATGTTGTGTCCATGTATAACTAAACAAATATTAAAAAAAAAGAAGTTTCTGATCAAGCCTAAATGAAAAATGACTTGATATTCATTTATATTTCATAAGAAGAAATAATATTCCTTGAAGAATTATTAGTAATATTCTCTTACTCTATAAATAAGGAAAGTCTAAGTTCTTTTAAGCTTCATAAAATAGCCGTGTATTTCTCATGAAGACTTTTTGGAATCATATCAGATTATAATAAAAATAGTTAACATTTATCAGACTTCAATGTACTTGGCATTAAGTTAAATAGTTTGCATGTATCACCTCATTTACTCTTTCCTGTGACCCCAGGAGACACAAGTAAGAAAGTTGAAGCTTAGAGCTGTTGGAACAGGAACTGGGATTCCAGCACTCATCTGCCTGAAAAGAGGGTCCATGCTATTTACCACCAGTGCTGTTCTGCTCCTGGACTCACGATAAGAAAAAATTCACAGCTGAACTAACTTCATTCCACTAACTTCATTCCACTAAGAAGTGAATTATAGATTGAGTATAGATAATACTTACCAGTGAGCAGCAAATGGACGACAAAGGTCTACGTGAAAATTTTTGAGATCTTTAAATCTAATTGCTGCTTCAATATAAACAAAGAGTATCCAGAGGGACACTGTAGGCAAACACACTCCCCTTTCTGTGGGAAAGCAGCAGAGAAACAAGCATCAATGAAACATTAACTAACACAACAGATGGGTTATTTGGGACACTGATTCAACTACAATAACTTTCATTGAGACTTTCCACTAAACTAAAAAGCAATCTGATGCAAATTAAAAGCTCTTATATGACAAACATTTTCATAGAATCACTAATAAAATAAAAGGCAATCATTCTGGCAGAAAATACATAAAACAAAATATTCATAGTCCTAACATACAACAAGCTCCTACAAATCAATTAAAAAAAGGTACTGAAGACAGTGGGGGTGGGGGGTGCCCACATCTGTAGTCCCAGCTACTCTGGACTCTGAGGGGAAAGGATCACTTGAACCCAGAAGTTCTCAGCCAGCCTGGGCAACACAGTAAGACCTCATCCCAAAACAAAAACAAGTGTGTGGATGTCAGGGAACTGTAATAGAACAGCATAAAATGTGCCTAGTGTGTACAAGGCACTGGGTTCAATCTTCAGCATTGTCGCCACCCCCACCAAAAAACAAAACAAAACAAAACAAAAAAGGAACTGAGGAAAATTTACAAGTCACAAAACATAGATGACTAGAAAAAAATATGAAAAAGTACAATTTAGGGAAATACAAAATAAAATAATTACATTCATTTTTTTTAACCCACTAGAGAAAAAATTTTAAAGTCTAATAAAAGTACAAGAAAGGTGTGAGGAAAGGCTTAGCCTCGTACTTGACAATAATCAAAATTGTGGCAACTTGTACTTCTTTGGTTTAACTTATACTTTTTTTCTTTTGGGTACCTAGGATTGAACTCAGGGGCACTTAACCACTGAGTCACATCCCCAGCCATATTTTATATTTTATTTAGAGACAGGGTCTCAATGAGTTGCTTAGCACCTTGTCATTGCTGAGGCTGCCTTTGAAGCCCCAATCCTCTTATCTCAGCCTCCTGAGCCACTGGAATTACAGGTACGTGCCACGGCACCCAGTTTAACTTGTACTTTTATTCCAGAAATTCCACTTCTAGGACTCTACCCTACAGAAATATAAGAGCCCTGAGATAAATGTTTAAGAATATTAATCATAGTATTATTTGCAATAATAAAAACTTTATTTTAATTTAAATGTCTATCAATAGGCAGCTATTTAATTGTGATAAATGTATTTATATATTTAAATATATTGCAGATTATCTGAAGAATGGAAAAGATCTGTATTCTCATGGAATTATGAGTTTTTTTTTTCCTTAAAGTATTTTTTTAAATTTTTTAGTTGTAGTTGGACATATACCTTTATTTTATTTATTTATTTCTATGTGGTGCTAAGGATCGAAACCAGCGCCTCGCAAATGCTAGGCTAGTGCTCTACTGCTGAGCCACAACCCCACCCAGAATGTTTTAAAAAATAAAATTCTTAAGTATGAATCAGCTGTAACAGTAAAACAATATAGTATTTTTTGGACATTTAAGTACTATTTGAAAATGTGTTTTTCTTAACCACAGCTCATACTCATTTTGTAATTAAAAACAATTTCCAAGGGAGGAAAAATCAACCTGCAACAGAATAAACAAGATGTAAATATTGGGAAATGACTTGGACTCAAAACCTGCAGACTAGATTCATTTACATTAGGACATGATTAACAACGGGATAATTATAAATGTGGACTACATAGGCATAAGGGGGAAAAATTAGGGACCTAAAGGTTTTCTGCTATGGATTTTTAAGATGAAAAAAATCATAGGGGGCTGGGGATGTGGCTCAAGCGGAGCGGGCTCGCCTGGCATGCTTTCGGCCCGGGTTCGATCCTCAGCACCACATACAAACAAAGATGTTGTGTCCGCCGAAAACTAAGAAATAAATATTAAAAAAAAAAAAATCATAGGATCTTGAAACTAGGAAGATCATTATGCCTAACTTCCTCATCATGTTGAGGAGAGAGTAAAGGCCAGAACTTAAGCAAAATTTGGTTCAGGTTCACAGAGATAGTATTGAATCTGCTTTTAAGAAAAACCAAAGTTCTCTTAAGCCTGGTCCCTAAGTTAAATCAATAAGGGAAGCTCTGTGAAGGTGATTATTGACTTCAGACATTCTTATGGACTTAACACAGCAAAAATAGGTACTTTCAGAATATAGAAAGAAAAATAGCAACCTATTAATATAAATTTTTAGAATCATTTCAAAAATTTATATTCCCTATTTCATGTATGAATGTATTAAGTTATTATAAATATAATAAGCAGATTACAGAAAAAAGACAAATGTTCATATTTCTACATCTACTCAGTAAATAAAGCTACACTGGAAGCATTTTTTAATAAGAGTCTTCTATTATAAATTCAGTTTTGTATCTTGGCCTTTTTTTCTCTTAATAGCAAGGAAAAAGTTTACAACAGTGTATTATTATTTTGTGGCCATATATAATTTGTATATTCCTAACATTCTTTTTTTTTGAGAGAGAATTTTAATATTAATTTTTTTAAGAGAGAGACAGAGAGAGAGTTTTTAATATTTATTTTTTAGTTTTCGGCGGACATAATATCTTTGTTTGTATGTGGTGCTGAGGATTGAACCCAGGCTGCACGCATGCCAGGTGAGCGCGCTACCTCTTGAGCCACATCCCCAGCCCATATATTCCTAACATTCTTAAGAAACTTTAAAATTTTAAGAACTAGAGAAAAAATTAGCCCCAAGTTATATAAATTGTACTCATTTGTCAGGCCCAATAAAACTACAAGTTTTCATTTTATTTTGCTTGTTTTTTTCAGTACTAATTATTCCAATTTAAAACATATTTCACAATTTAGTTATTCTAATGAACTGAGCCAAGGGCTGAAGAGAGCCAAGTATCATTTCATGATGTAACTACCTGCTATCTGATGGGTCACTCACTCAACTACAGTTCCTAAAAGGTTCTACTAAGAGTTATATGCTTAGTTTCCTCTCCCTTACTAAAATATTATTGAAGAAATTTAGAGAATCACCATAGTTCCTCAAAGTCCCAAAATATTTGCACTGGAAGGGTCTCTCTTTTACATTATCTAGATTATTCCACCTCCATATGACAAGACATGAAACTGAGACCTAGAGAGARAGGAGCTAGTGTAAATGGCAACTCACTCACAATTATGCCTAACCTCCTCATCTTGTCGACGAGAAAAGTAAAGGCCAGAACTTGGTTTAGGTTCACAGAGATAGTATTGAGTCTGCTTTTTAAGAAAAACCTAAGTCCGGGCTAGGGATGTGGCTCAAGCGGTAGCGTGCTCACATGGCATGCATGCAGCCCGGGTTCAATCCTCAGCACCACATACAGACAAAGATGTTGTGTCCGCCGAAAACTAAAAACTAAATATTAAAAAAATTCTCTCTCTCTCTCTCTCTCTCAAAAAAAAAAAAAAAAAAAACCCAAGTTCAGGCCAAGGACACATAAGTAAAAACTGCTGCAAAGAAAAATCACTCTAATTAGAGGACAGCAGACTACAAACAGCTTGTGGCAGCTTATAAATCAAGTCAAATACAAAAGAGTGCTCAAGATGGAGAAAATCAAGCATACAGTGGATAGTGGATACTTTGAATAATAGGGCTCAATTGTGTCTTCTAATCGGGCTCACATCATCCTCTTAGGAGCTTTGGGAAGAGTATGAATGCTGCTCCAGAGAGCTTTTATTATTTGGCACTCTCTCAGTGGTCAAAACCCTACAGGTTACAGCTGAGCCTAAGAATTAAGTTTCATGTAACTTTGTACACAAGTGTGACTCTGAGAACCAATCCTCAAATCCCACTGCATGCCACTTTCCAGCTAACACAGTGGGCTGGAGCTGTCAAAATATCTCATCTTTCTTGGTTTGAACTAACAGTGTAGCTCTAAGAAGGCAGCAGGTAGCTGTGTAGCTCCACTCTAGTTAGAACATACCTGAAATATAATACACAGAACCTATAAAAACTAGAGAGATCAGGTTGGTGACGTGTGCTTGAAATGCCACACAGGGAAAAACTGATAAAACCAGGCATTTTTGCCAACAGAAAAGACTTAAAAGGATATGACAGGAACTTCAGATCTCTAAAGAAATGTTAACTGGGAAGGGAGATTACACCCATTAAGGTGGGAGAGGTTTAGTTTTGGCTTGAGGGGATGGTCTATAGACCCCTTGAAATGTTAAGGCAAAGGTTTTCACAGACCCATATATTTTTCTGGTGAAAACCCTTTCAGATCCTCTAAGAATCAGTGAGCTTCCAAATAGCTGAGACATGTTGGGTTAAAAATAAAAGGAGGATGAGTTTGGTTCACTATGAAGAACTTCCTATCACAACAGCCCCAAAATGGGTAATAGAGTACCAGGAATGGCAGTTAAATTCTTTATCACTGTAGGTTTTCAATCAGAATTAAAACCCTCATGTGCCAAGGCTACTGTGAGGATTCTTTTGTCAAATTATGGGTTCACCTATTCTAGGAACCTTTTTTAAAATTTGGCACACAGCTGTCTTCAATTGTTTTTAAACAAAAACCACTTCAACTTTTTTTAAAAAGAGGATATCTTCATAATAAGAGTTGGTGATTGAAATGTCTATTATAGACATATCAAATCATAAAGGCTTAGACTTTTGATTGAAATAATACAAAAAATTTGTAAAAGTATATTATAATCTATTAAGAAAAGGCAACTTTAAAACACATAAAATCAATTGTAAATAATTTTTTCAAAGAAATAACCATATTTTAAAAACTTGAACCTAAGATTTCTATCCATCTAAGAAATAATTAACACTTACCTGTGTGCCATACGTACTGAACCCATACATATGTGCTAGCAGCAAAAAAAAGCCATTGTATGGGAATGAAGAGCAGACATATTATATTGGATGTGAATGCTACACAAACAAAAAATACTGAGAAGGCCTACGGAAGAAAAGAAATCACATCTTAGAACTTGTTATTTTCAAACACTGGTTTTTAAAAGCTTATTGAACAAAATTAATGAAAACAGAGAAAATTAATAACAGATCATTTTAAAACATTTAAAATCCCTCATATAAAAAAGTAATGGTTAAATCAACATTAAAGAGTTAGTGCCATTTATGGTCTTTCAATCATGAAGAACTAGACCAGAACAAACTGAGGCTAGACCACAATGAGCTATGGGAGGGTTACCTGAAAGAATAAGAATTTTAACCCAGAAAAGCCTCTCCCCTCACAAACCACTCCTAGAGAGTCTCATTTCTGTTTTCAGCGCTGGTGACTGAATGCAGGGCTTCGGTATGCTAGGCAAGCACTCCACCAGCAAGCCACACCCCAGCTAAAAGCCTTTTTATTTGGGAAGGGTGGGCACTGCGGATTGAACCCAGGGATAATTTACCACTGAGCTACATCCTCAGCTCTTTTTATTTTTTTAATTTTTAGACAGGGTCATACTAAATTGCCTAGGGCTTTGCTAACTTGCTGCAGCTGGCCTTGAACTTGCAGTTCAGGGATTACAGGCATGTACCACCACACCCAACAAGAGTCTTATTCTTAAAGGATAGGCTTGTTGGAACACAGGTGAACCATAATATTAGTAAGACATAAGCTGATGTTACTAATCTTAATAATGTAGCCTTCCTCTGGTTACCATCCTCTGGTTACCACTATCTATTACCAGCTGGACATGAGCTTGACACCATCTTTTTAAAGCATGGATTTGCTCTGACCAAAGCACCAGGCCTGGTTGGAGATTTTCGGATTTAAGGTGTAGCTATTAAACAACAATGGAACCAACACACAAACCCAAAGAACAAGCCCTGGCCTGTGCCCTTGCTAACCCAGTAGTTCTAAAAATGCGGTCTGGGGATTTCTGGAGGGTCTCAGATCCTTCCAGATGGTTTTGAAGTGAAAACTGCTTTTGTAATAATACTAAGATATAATCTGACTTTTTCACACTCATGTGTATAGTAGAAATTTCTAAAAGTTACATGACATTTGGTATTGCAATAGATTGAGTTCAGAAACATATATGAAAATCTAGCTGTCTTCCATCAAGCCAGACATTACAGAGATTTGCAAAAATGAAGCCATTCTTCTATTTTTAATATATTTTTAAATTTTTTTTTTGTTTGTTTAAAAACATAATTTGTGAGCTGGGGTTGTGGCTCAGCAGTAGAGTGCTGTGCAAGGCCCTGGGTACGATCCTCAGAACCACATAAAAATAAATAAATAAAATAAAGGTATTGTGTCCAACTACAACTAAAAAAATAAATATTAAAAAAATAATAATTTATATTAACATAATGGGCTTACTACTGTTATTTTCAGTAAGTTAATATGCATTTTAATTTTTGTTTTAATTTATAATATTAAAAATATGGATAGATATGATCCACATGAATACTTCTCTTTGAAGTACTCAATAATTTTTAAGAGTGTAAAGGGGTCTTGAGTCAAAAATTTGAGAATCACTTTTCTAACTCCAATTCCATTACTACCAGGGATTTCAGAGGCACTTCTGTGTAGAACTGAACAATTTAGTGCTTCCTCCAGTACTATCTCCTTACTTAAGTGTCTATCCAATCTCTTCCTTCTACTTGAATGGCTAGAAGGAAAAGATATGAATATATGGGGTTAGATAAAATAGCCCAAGAGGCCAGTTTTCAGTCCATAGACCCTATTAGCTCATTCCAGTACAGCAGTCTCCTAAACATTGCTTATAAAATCTACTGTAAATAGGTCACCATCAGATATTGAAGATTTTCTGAGAAGGGTCATCAAATCCCTCAGTGTTGGAGAGCATATATTAGTAAACATACCAGTCCCTGGTATCTGAAGGAATCATAGACGCTTCTGATGAAAAGCCAGAATGGCCACAGGTATTCAAATCTGAACTCCAGGACAAAATCTGCAAGGAGGACAAGTGCCCACACTACCAGGAATTTCAGGTATAAAAATGTACTGCAAAATATAAAAATAAAGAATTAATTCAATGTCATTTGTGAAGAACTATAAACAGAAAATGCACTGTTTCGGTTTAAAAGACACAAAGAAAATAACTTTTTTTACCATGAGCGCAATAGAGATAAAGCACAAATAGAGATGCTGCCATTGGCCTATCCAAATTTTAAAAAGCTCTAGTGTTCATTCTGAGACTCATAACTCTTGAGATAAGATGATGACCAAAATTGCTTAATCCCATTTAAGATGGAAAAAAAAAAAACATTTAAATCTCAACACTATTTTAAAAATGTGTTAAGTGTCTGGCTTTAAAATACTGCAACACTCAAAATTATAGCTTTCAAGCTGTTCTTCATTAGCAGAAAATGTCATGGTTGAAAGACTTCAAATGTGCTGCTTCTCCACCCCTCTACATCTGTTTGAAAGTCTTTGAAATTGTTGATGCAAACCCCTATATGCTTGAAGAATTCTGTCTTTTTTCCCCTTCTCCTGCCTCTCCATATAGTTTACATCTGCATTAACCAAACAAAAACCAAATGACTTCCCAAAATAGAAACTAACTGAGGGAGCAGATGCCAATCACTACCAAAGGACTGTGAGGGTGCAAAAATACATGTTGAAGAAAAAACTCTTTAAGTATCCAGGCCTTGTTCTAGCTGAGAAGTAAATGTGTGTGTTCCTAGTTCCCTTAGGATTTATGTTAAACAGAACAACTTTGACAAGCCAGTCAGGATACAACTAACCACTGCACTAAGCTCAAAAAAGAGGTAAGGACATGGATAAAAAATGACTATTTTTTCATGAAATCTGAAAGTCCATTTTCCAGTCCATTAGTTGTACAATGGATAATACAGGTCTTTAAATTGTACCTATTAATAAACTTCTATTTCTATGTTCCCAATCCTGATGATTCTAGAGCAGATCAAACTGAGGTATTAAAAAAGGTTCTAGGGCGGGGCACAGTGACACAACACCTGTAATCCCAGCAGCTCGGGAGACTAAGACAGGAGGATCACAAGTTCAAAGCCAGCCTCAGCAAAAAATGAAGCTCTAAACAACTCAGTGAGACCCTGTCTCTAAATAAAATACAAAAAAAATAGGGCTGGGGATGTGGCTTAGTGGTCGAGTACCTCTGAGTTCAATCCCTGGTACCCCCCCCCCAAAAAAAAAAGGTTCTAGGGCTAGGGACATAGCTCAGTTGGTAGAGTGCTTGCTTCTCATGCACAAGGCCCTGGGTTAAATCCCCAGCACACACACACACCCCAAAAAAAGGTTTCAAAATAAACATATTGAAAATACCTAAAATTCACTTTGACTTGGGCTAGAAACTTGCATGGCATTTTGCAGTGCAAACATTCTAATACTGAAATGGTCAAATTAGTTATTTGAATAAATATCAACAAAATCAAAAATTTGTTGTTGTTTTTGTTTGGGTGCTAGGAATTGAATCTAGAGCCTTATGTATATTAAACATATGTCCTACTACTGAGCTATACACCAGCTCAAATCAAGATTTTTAATAAATAATTTTGAAGGATATTTCAATAAGATACAAAAAGAGTTCCATGGGAGTGGGGGGCAAGATCCAGCATTGAGGATTTTTTCTGCGCCCTTTGAAGCCATTAGGGTAAAAGATATCAAGAACAGACACCCTTGCCCTTCATGATATAATATTCATAATGAGGCATATTTTGTCATCTAGGATTTATTTCTAATGTTAATTCCTGAACTTCCATAGAGACTTGCCTAAAATCAAGAAACCCAGAGCAAACCCAAAGAACACATTCTTGAATTCTAAGAATTCTTTTAGCTTCACTCACTACAGTTCTAGCACCCTGTTGAAGACAGAGCCCTCAATCTCATTCTCTCATTAAGTTCAAAACTGACCCAATAGAGAGCAAAGCACATTTTATTAGAAGGAACATCTGAGTCAGGCAGGTATTAGGGATCACAAATCTAGTTTGAAACTAGATTTCCAAGCTACATGACTTTAAAACTAAAAGGAATTTTCTTTGTGTCTAGAACTGTTTCTACCTTAAACAAGGTATGATAGCCTCTTGGTTATCTTTTTTTTTTTTTTTTTTTTTTTTAAGAGAGAGTGAGTGAGTGAGAGAGTGTGAGTGAGTGAGAGAGAGAATTTTTTAATATTTATTTTTTAGGGGCTGGGGATGTGGCTCAAGCGGTAGCGCGCTCGCCTGGCATGCGTGCGGCCCGGGTTCGATCCTCAGCACCACATACCAACAAAGATGTTGTGTCCGCCGAGAACTAATAAATAAATAAATAAATAAATAAATAAATAAAATATTTATTTTTTAGTTTTCGGCGGACACAACATCTTCGTTTGTATGTGGTGCTGAGGATCGAACCCCGGGCCGCACACATGCCAGGCGAGGGCGCTACCGCTTGAGCCATATCCCCAGCCCTTGGTCATCTTTTTAAAGCATTTAAAAAATAGCATAGGGCTGGTTGTAGCTCAATGTGTACTATCCCCAAAACTACAAAATTAATTAGTTAGTTAATTAATTAATTAAAAGGGGCATGAAAATGTATTAATTTTTCTGGTTAATCCTTTTTCCCAGGGAGCTGTCTCTGGAATGTTGCTGAATGAGACATGTGTACCTCATGGTACCATTCCCCAGCTGGAAAAGGAACAGTGATACCAAATGCTCTCTGCCCAAAATTCCCCCAAGGCATGGCAGAATCCCAGTCTAGCTGGCAATACTCCATTTCACTGTTTAGAAAGCATTATCCAAAAGAATAGCAGCCTGCTTTGAATACTTTTAGCAACTGGATCATTTAAAACTAAGGCAATACAAAAACAATCATCCTTGTTGGTGACTATTCTTTTTCAATTTTGTAACTTCAAGGTGAGGGATTTCTTATACATTTAATTGCTCAAGCAACTACTTTTATACCTTTRATGTTCTAGACTCCTAGTTCTTAATGAGTCTTAGTTTAGAAGTAAAAATATCTAATAAGGAAACCTGATCATTTACAAACATATGCCACACCCTCAGCTTTCCCCAGGCTCCCCTTTCAGGTGGGCCTACTTCTAAAATCAAAAGACAACCTAATTAACAAAGCTGATTTTCTCAAGAAATAATCTTAAATTCTATTGAACCATTTCAATCTTAAAAGAGTTTTAGAAAATTTAAGAAAACTGCCTGACTCAGTATTCATTTAGCTTTTTACATCAGAAAATCATGTTTATCCTTCTGTAGGTACATATAAAAAGTTAAAAGATAGTAATCTAAAATGACTGCTCATCAGTGTAGAAACCCTGACTAATCCTTCTCCATTCAAATTCTGAAGGTTCTAAGATTTTGCCAAATCCAAAGTGATGATATTCCACAGGGGAATTTAAACCATTATGGAATTCCAAAATATTTCTTTTAAGCCATGAAGAAGATATAATTAAATATACCTTTATATGGTTCATATGACTTATGGCTAACTTGATATTATTTTGAGTCTCCAAATCCAAGTAAATTTGCTAATAATGATAAAATAGTAAAGCCTAACCGCAAAAAAAAAAAAAATATTCTTCAAAATTATATATTGAAACAGGGCAGGCCAGTAATATCTTCTGATGATCTTGTAAACTATTCTGAATGCCAATGAAATAAAGAAAAGGCAAATGCAATTATTAGGCTTATGGTGTCAAGTCTTCAAAGTGGATATTTTCTATAAATTTTTTTATTCTATTCCTATCGTGCTACTTACAACCATTTTTTTGCCTGAATTCGTTTAGTAATACTCTCCATCTACAGATTAATAATCTATGATTAATATGAAGTGGTAAAGAACATTCTTCTTTTTCCAAGTAAAGTGCACCTTCTCTTTAGTATCTCTAGCTGCTTGTCACCTACATCATTTTCTGGAGCCCACATAATTACCATAGGAAGGCCATCAATCCTCAGTACATGACCTTTTCCCTGCACAGACTAATGGCCATTTAGTTCACTTGGTCCTCACCACAGAAATAAGCCTGTGGAATATTTCACTGACTGTACTAGTAGCCATCTATCTCAATCCTAGCTTTCCTGACCTCTTGGTAATGGCAACTGTAAATCACCTTTAGCATTCAGTATATGGCAAGATACTTCCTACACCCAACTGCTTTGTCTTATCTCTTATCCAATACCTCTTCCTACTGGACATCATCTCTAGAATATTTATCCAGCCCCTTATATGTCTTATACTCATGCTAAAGTTTCACGTGGGCTGATGTAATTACACACAGTCTTGCTACTCAAAGTATGGTTCATGACCCAGCATCATCATCATGTATAAACTGTTTAGAAAAGCAGAATTTCAGAGCCCATTCCAAACCTATTTAATCTAAGCCTGTATTTTAACCAGACCTCTAGGCCATTTATGCATACATTAAAATTTGAGAAAAACACAAGTTCCATGCCATAGTTTAAAAATCTCTCTGAAATTCATGTTGAGATTTAATCCTTAAATTCACATACCAGATGCTATTTGGAAGTGGAGCCTTTGGAAAGTAATTGGGATTAGATAAACTCATCAGGATGGGAACCCTATGATAGGACTGATGCCTTTATGACAAGAGGAAGAGCCAGGATTAGTGGCTCTTGCCTGTAATCCCAGCTACTTGGGAGGCTCAGGCAGGAGGATTACAAATTCAAGGCCAGCCTGGACAACAAAGTGAGACTGTGTGAAGGAAGATGAGGAGGAGGAAGAAAGTGAGAGAGGGGAGAAAGGAAGAAGAAGAAGAGGAGGGGAGAGGAGAAGAGAGAGACTTGAGCAGTTATGATACAGCAAGAAGGCCCTTACCAGATGCCAAACAGATGCTAGAACTATGTTCCACAACCATAAGAAATAAATTTCTGTTTTTAAATAAATTACTCAGTATCAAGTATTCAGTTAGAGCAAAAGGAAATGGATTAAGGCAACTTCAAGCTGTCATGGAACTTCCATTAAATTCCATGTCTCAGAAAGAAGACAATCAGTACAGATAATCAGTACTTATCTCC